ATTTGGATGCCTTTTATTTCTTCTTCTTGTCTGGTCACTATGGCTAGCACTTCCAGTCCTATGTCAAACAAGAGTGGTGATAGTGGGCATCCCTGTCTTGTTCCTGTTCTTAGGGGAAATGATTTTAGTTTTGCCCATTGAGTATGATGTTGGCTGTGGATTTGTCATATATGGCTTTTATTATGTTGAGGTATGATCCTTCTATTCCCACCTTGCTGAGAGTTTTTATCAAAAATGGGTGTTGGATTTTTTTCAAATGCTTTTTCTGCATCAATTGATAGGATTATGTGGTTTTTTATCTCTCAGTTTGTTCATGTGATGTATCACACTTATTGATTTGTGGATATTGTACCATCCTTGCATCCCCAGGATAAATCGTACTTGGTCATGGTGTATGATCTTTCTGATGTACTGCTGGATCTGATTTGCTAGAATTTTTTTGAGGATTTTGGCATCATTTCATGAGGAATATTGGCCTATAATTCTCTTTCATTGTGTTGTCTTTATCTGGTTTTGGTGTTAGGTTGATGCTGGCTTTATAGAAGGATCTTGGAAGTGTTCCTTCCTCTTGAATTTTTTGGAATAGTCTGAGGAGGATAGGTTTTAGTTCTTCCTTGAGTGTTTGGTAAAACTCCCCTGTGAAGCCATCTGGCCCCAGGCTTTTGTTTGCTGGAAGCTTTTTGATGACTACTTCAATTTCTTCCATAGTTATTGGCCTATTGAGATTTTTAGATTCTTCCTGATTGAGTTTTGGAAGGTTGTATTTTTCTAGGAATATGTCCATTTCCTCCAGATTGTCCAGTTTGTTGGAACAGAGTTGTTCATAGTACTTATAAATAATCATTTGTATTTCTGTGGGGTCTGTTGTTATTTCTCCTCTTTCATTTCTGATTTTGCTTATTTGGGTCCTCTCTGTCTTTGCTTCTTGGTAAGTCTGGCTAGAGCTTCATCAATCTTGTTTATCCTTTCAAAGAACCAGCTCTTGGTTTTGTTGACCTTTTGTATTTTTGTTGTTGTTGTTGTTGCTGTCATTCTCTATGTCGTTTATCTCCACTCTAATCTTTATTATTTTCTTCCTTCTGCTTACACTGGGTTTTTCTTGTTGCTCTCTTTCTAACTCTTTGAGTTGTAGAGTTAGGTAACTTATTACCATTGTGTCTTGTTTTTTGCAGTAGGCTTGTAGAGCTATGAATGTCCCTCTCAAGACTGCTTTCACTGTGTCCCATAGATTTTGGATTGTTGTGTTTTCATTGTCATTTGTTGCCATGATTTTTTTTATTACTTCTTTGATCTCTCTAGTAACCCAGTCATTATTTAATAGCATGTTGTTTAGTCTCCAGGTGTTTGATTTTTTTTTTATTGTTTTTATTGTATTTGATTTCCAGTTTTATGCCATTGTTATCTGAGAAGATGCTTGATATGATTTCTATCTTCTTGAATTTGAAGAGATTTTGCCTGTGACCCAATATATGGACTATCTTTGAAAATGACCCATGTGCACTTGAGAAGAATGTATATTCTATGGCTTTGGGGTGAAATATTCTGAATGTCAATTAATTCCATCTTATCTAGTGAGTCATTTAGGATTGATGTTTCTTTGCTAGTTTTTGTTTAGAGGATTTGTCCAGTGATGTTAGTGGGGTTTAAAGTTCCCTACTATGACTGAATTGCTGTCAATCTCTCCCTTGATAGCCTCCAGAAGTTTTTTTTTATGTATTTGGGTGCTCCTGTATTGGGTGCATATATACTTACCAGAGTTATTTCTTCTTGTTGGATTGCTCCCTTTAGTATTATGAAGTGCCCTTCTTTATCTCTTGTTATGTCTTTCACTTTGAAATCTAATTTGTCAGATATATGTATTGGTACCCCAGCTCTTTTTTCATTTTCATTCACCTGAAAAACCTTTTTCCATCCCTTCACCATCAGTCTGTGTGCATCTTTTTTTCTGAGGTGGGTTTCCTGTAGATAGCAGATATATGGGTCATGTTTTCTTATCCACTCAGTTACCCTATGTCTTTTGATTGGGGCATTTAATCCATTTACATTTAAAGTTATTATTGATAGGTACTTGTTTGTCTCCATTGTTATTCTTTGCCCTTGTGTTCCTTCTTTGCTTCCTATGCCTTCTTTTCACAGCAGAACCTTTAGCATTTCTTGTATTGCTGGTTTGGTTGTAATAAACTCCATTAGTCCTTTTTTATCTGTGAAGCTCCTGATTTCAATTTTGATTGATAGCCTTTCTAAACATAGTATTCTTGGATTCAGACCCTTCCTTTGCATGACTTTGTATATTTCATTTCATTCCCTTCTTGCCTGAAGTGTTTCTGTTGAGAAATCAGTCATTATTCTGATGGGGGATCCTTTGTATGTAACTTTCTGTCTCTCTCTGGCTGCTTTTAAGATCCTTACTTTGTTGTTGGTGTTTGCCAATTTAATTATAATGTGCATTGGAGTTGGTCTTTTGGGGTTAATTTTGTTTGGGACTCTGTGAGCTTCTTGGATTTGTGTGAGTTTTTTCTTTTCTATGTTTTCTGTCATTATTTCTTCAAACAGGTTTCCTTTTTTCTTTTTCTTTTTAAAATATATTTCTTTGTTGATTTCAGAGAGGAAGGGAGGAGAGAGAGATAGAAACATCAATGATGAAAGAGAATCATTGATTGGCTGCCTCCTGCACGACATCCACTGGGGATTGAGCCCACAATCCAGGCATGTGCCCTGGCCAGAATCGAACCTGGAACCCTTGAGTCGGCAGGCTGACGCTCTATCCACTGAGCAAGCTGGCTAGGGCTGAACAGGTTTTCTATTCCTTGCTCAGTTTTCTTTCCTTATGTAACCTCTATTATGCGATGTTGTTTTGTTTCATATTGCCCCAAAGTTCTTTTAGGCTCTCCTCCTGCTTTTTAATTTTTTCTTTTTTTTCTAGAAGCTGCTCTGCTTGGGTAGTTTTTTCTACCTTGTCTTCTAGCTTACTGATGTGGTCCTCAGTTTCTTCTAGTCTACTGTTGATGCTTTCTATTGAGTTTTTATAGCAGTGGTGTCATTTTTCATTTCTTCTTGGTTTTCTTCATTTCCTCTTAGTTCTTACACATATTTTGAATTTGTCTTCCATTCTTTTCACCTCTCTTATGACCATTTCTCTGAATTCTTTCTCTGACAGATTGCTTGCCTCCATTTTGTTTACTTCCTTTTCTGGTGATGCCTGCTTTTCTTTCATATGCAGGCTATTTCTTTGTCTCCCCATGGTGTCTCTTCTCCAGGTGTCTGGTTATATAGTTCTCTCTCTTCTGCATTGATTTAAAAGCACAAAATACAACACAACAAGGCACAACACAAAAGGCACTGAACACAAATATATTCACTATACTAATAACCAGAAATAAAGGTGACCACCAGAGAAAAGAGAGTTAGGGGATAAGAAAGAAAGAAGGGGGGGAAGGGTAAAAAAGAGTGCAAAAATGGAATTGGGTAAAGGAAAAAAAAAGTAAGAGAGAAAAAAAAAAAGAATAAAAAAGTGGGGAAAGAACTATTTATATGGGGAGAAAAATCCAATAGAGCAGTCACTAATCCCAATAAATGCCAGCAACAAATACCTAGAGATGAATGCAAACTACACACAACAACTAATATCAAGGGAGGCAGGAAAAACAGAAGCAAGAAACAAACAACAACAACAAAAAGTGAAACAATTTCACAAACAAGCATAAAAATATATATAATCAACAATGAAGCAAACAACAACAAAAGGACAGAGAGAGAAATTTTGGATAGTGAAGAAAGAGAAGAGAGAGGTGTGTATGAACTTGGAGGAGGGGATTGGAAATTAGATATATAAATAGGGTGAAATTTTAACAGGGGGTAAAAAGAACGCATAGGAAAAAGCTAAAGCAGGAATAGGGTAAGAGAAACAGGACAACAAAAGGGAAAAAGTGAGGAAGAGTGTGTTGGCATAAAGGTAAAGTTGAGCTAGAGTAAAATGATGCTAAAGGAAAATGAAAATAGAAGTAAAATAAAGAGAAAATAAAATGACACTTTAAAAAAGGTAAAATAGTAGAAGTAATAATACTGATTAAAAATAAAAATGTAGCCGAGGCTGGTTTGGCTCAATGGATAGAGCGTCGGCTTGGGGACTGAAAGGTCCTGGGTTTGATTCAAGTCAAGGGCATGTACCTTGGTTGTGGGCATATCCCCAGTAGGGGGTGTGCAAGAGGCAGCTGATCTATGACTTTCTCATCGATGTTTCTAGCTCTCTCTCTCCCTTCCTCTCTGTACAAAATCAATAATATATATATATATATATATATATATATATATATATATGTAATAATTAAAAAGGTACAATGGATGCAAGACACTGGGAGGTGAGGGCATGTATGGGAATGGGGTGGGAGGGCAATGGGGAGATATAGATACATGTAATACCTTAATCAATAAAAAAATTGAAAAATCTAAAGCAAGAAGGGTCACCACTGGCTTTGGCCTTTGAAACTGATACTATGCAACAAAATAGCCAAGAGGAAAGCAAGAGGAAACCATATAAATTGAAAGGTCCAATTAGAAGGGGTCAGGTTCAAACAAAGAGCTGCAGCAAAGACTGGAGGTAAAATGGCAGCAGGCAAGATTTTTTATTTTATTTTTCCCATTAGAGAGAGCAGGCTTTTCCCATTTGGGGACCCCTCCTCAGGGGGTCTCCTTTGGGGAAACCTGTGCCAAGATGGAGTTTGTGTATGCTTCCAATAAACTTCTACATTTTTATTAAAGAAATCTGTTAGGCCACGAATTTATTCTTCATCTTCGTCAGACACAACCCATGAGAAGTCTGTACCCGGAATCCCAGGTTTCACCAGCGTCAGCACAAGCTGCTGAGGAAGTGAGGCTGGACCTAGAGGGGGAGGAGATGAGCGAAAGGGGAAGTTTCGGGGGGGCCTGCCAGGAGGCTGTGGGAGAGGAGAGCCATCAGAGACACAGCCAGCTTGTCTGTCTCCACCAGCATCTGCTGAGCCATGAGCCAAGCCCGGGATTTACAGGGTAGGCGGGCGGGATAGGCAGAAGCCTCAAAAGTGAGAGGGACGCCCAGCTGGCGGGGCTCCGTGGCTGAGCATCGACCTATGGGCCAGGAGGTCACGGTTCAGTTCCAGTTGGGCACACGCCCGGGTTACGGGCTTGATCCTCATTGAGGGGGTAGGGGGAAGGCAGCTAATCAATGATTCTCTCTCATCATTGATGTTCCTATCTTTCCCTCTCCTTTCCTCTCTGCAATCAATTTTTAAAAATGTATTTTTTTAAACTGAGCAAGAACGACAGATGTGGCCGGGGACCAGGAGGGCAGTTCCTGGCCTGAGGCAGCATAGCTGCGATGCCGGGTGAGGGCAGTGGGTACATTGACTTTGTGCCCCTCAGGAGGAAAGGCCTTTGGGCTGCTGAGGGCCCAGCAGGAAGAGAAACTGGATGAAATCAATAAGGTAAGAGGGAACTAAGGGGCTGGGCTGGGGCTGGGGGAAGGGCCGGGACAGAGGGCCCACTGGCTCTGGCTCTCCCACAGCAATTCCTGGATGACCCCAAATACAGCAGTGACGAGGATCTGCTCCCCAAACTGGAAGCCTTCAAGAGTGAGGGGAAAACTGTAGGGGTGGATGGGAGGCGAGGGGGGAGGATTTCCCCAAAGCAGAGGGGGGCGGGAGAGCAGAGCCACAGTGCCGCTGTGGCTGGAGGAAGGAAGGCTGCCTCCGCTGCCCTGGCTCATCCCCTTCCCTGGCCGGCCCCTCGCAGCCGCCCCCGCTTCGGGATGCCTTCACAGGGCCCTTCAACCCACCCTGCCTCCCCTGCCTGACCCTGCTTCTCCCGCTCCCTACCAGCATTCCTAGCAACCCCTTCTCAGTTCTCTGCCCTTCCAGCCAGAACTTACCTCTGCTTTCTCCCCTCACCCAGAGAAATACATGGAGTTTGACCAGAATGGAAACGGAGATATTGGTGAGAAAGGGGTGGTCGGGGGGAGTGTGCAGACCTAACGGGCGGTCCCTTCCACGTGCTGCACCGGGTGGGGAAAGATGGCTTGGGAAAGAGCCCACTACAGGATCAGAGGAAGGGACTGGGAATTGGCAGCACAGGAAAGAGAGGTCCCCTCTTCTCACCCCATCCTTTATCTCCAGATATCATGTCTCTGAAGCGAATGTTGGAGAAACTTGGGGTACCCAAGACCCACCTGGAGCTAAAGAAGTTAATCAGGGAGGTTTCCGGCAGCTCCGCGGAGACTTTCAACTACTCCGACTTTCTCAGGATGATGTTGGGCAAGAGATCTGCCATCCTGAAAATGTGAGGGACTGCTGCAGGGCAGCCAGAGGCAGGGTGGCCCGCCGCTCCGGTCCCACCCCGTCCTGCCCGATTCCTCCCACAACGCTAGGCATCCAGTCTCCCGCCCGCGGTCTTATCCCAGCCCTGGTGCTGGCCCCACGCCCGCACTCCCACCCAGCCCTCTCTTCTGGACTTCATTCTCTTGAGAGGACTGTTCCCTGACCTGTGTCTCTTCCTGTCTCAACCAGGATCCTAATGTATGAGGAGAAAGCAAAGGAGCAGGAGAAGCCAACACGTCCCCCAGCCAAGAAAACTGTCTCTGAGCTGCCCTGATTTGTGATGGGATTGGAGGGGCTTCTAGTGACCCCAACAGAGAAAAGAAGACAAAACTGTGAGCCAGAGTTGAACTAAAATAAATTCTTCTCCTTCTGCAGAGGAAGTCAGCTCGCTCTGTGGGGATTTTCCCGGGGTTGGGAAAAAGTGAAGCATCTTTGAGGGAAGGGCAGCAAGAATTTGCTGAAATGAACAATGTATCTACTACAGCAGGTGGTTTTTGTTTTGTTTTAATTCTCACGGAGGATGTTTCTTGATTTTTTAGAGAAACATTGATGTGAGAAAGAAACATCCATCGGTTGCCTCTCCTATGCACCCGATAGGGATGACTGAAACCTTTTAGTGCATGGGACCACACTCAACCCGCCAGGGCTCCAGCAAGTGATTGTGTATGCAAGGGAGGTTCCAGATGTATAAGATAGCCTTGACCTCAAGGAAGTTAGGGGGTATGAAAAGACGGGTGGGGGGGGGAGAGAGAGAGAGAGAGAGAGAGAGAGAGAGAGAGAGAGAGAGAGAGAGAAAGGAAGAAAGGGAGGGAGGAAGGAAGGAAGGAAAGAAAGGAAGAAAGAAAGAAAGAAAGAAAGAAAGAAAGAAAGAAAGAAAGAAAGAAAGAAAGAAAGAAAGAGGAAGGGAGGGAGGGAAGGAGGGAGAGAGGGAGGGAGGAAGAAAGGAAGAAGGAAAGGAAGGAAGAAGGAAAGAAGGAGGGAGGGAGGGAGGGAAGAAGGAAGGAAGGGAGGAAGGAAGGAAGGGAGGGAGGAAGGAAGATAGGAAGAAGGAAAGAAAGGAAGAAGGAAAGAAGGAAGGGCAGGAGGGAGGGAGGGAAGAAGGAAGGAAGAAAGGAAGGAAGGAAGGAAGGGAGGGAGGGAGGGAGGGAGGGAGGGAGGGAGGAAGGAAGGGAGTAAGGAAGGGCAGGAGGGAGGGAAGAAAGAAGGAAGGAAGGGAGGAAGGAAGGAAGGGAGGGAGGGAGGAAGGAAGATAGGAAGAAGGAAAGAAAGGAAGAAGGAAAGAAGGAAGGGCAGGAGGGAGGGAGGGAAGAAGGAAGGAAGGAAGGAAGGAAGGAAGGAAGGAAGGAAGGAAGGAAGGAAGGGAGGGAGGGAGGAAGGAAGGAAGGAAGGAAGGAAGGAAGGAAGGGAGGGAGGAAGGAGGGAGGAAGGGAGGGCAGGAGGGAGGGAGGGAGGGAAGAAGGAAGGAAGGAAGGAAGGGAGGAAGGGAGGGAGGGAGGGAGGGAGGGAGGGAGGGAGGGAGGAAGGAAGGAAGGAAGGAAGGAAGGAAGGGAGGGAGGGAGGGAGGGAGGGAGGAAGGAAGGAAGGAAGGAAGGAAGGAAGGAAGGAAGGAAGGAAGGAAGGGAGGAAGGGAGGGAGGAAGGGAGGGAGGAAGGAAGGAAGGGAAAAAACCACCCAGGCCCATCAGGAAGGGCAAGGATTATCTTGAACTAACATTCTCCATCACTATAAGCTTTATGACCTTAACAAATCACTTGGCCTCTCTGACTTTTTCCTCTAAAAAGAAAGATGAACATGACCTGTAGTGCCTGGCACATCATCAGCCCTCAGTAATGTTTAAAAGTGTGTGGTGGTCCTAGCCAGTTTGGCTCAGTGACTAAAGCATCGGCCTGAGAGCAAAGGGTCCGGGTTTGTTTTCGGTCAAGGTCGCGCACCTTGGGTGCAGGTTCCTTCCAGGTCGGGGCACACGCAGGAGGCCACCAACTGATGTTTCTCTCTGTCTTTTATATATATATATACATATATATATATATATATATATATATATATATATATAATTGATTTTTTTACAGAGAGGGAGAGGGATAGAGAGTTAGAAACATCGATGAGAGAGAAATACCGACCAGCTGCCTCTTGTACACCCCCCCACTGGTGATGTGCCCACAACCAAGGCACATGCCCCTGATCAGAATTGAACCTGGGACCTCTCAGTCCGCAAGCCAACGCTCTATCCACTGAGCCAAACTGGTTTTTCAAAATATTTTTTAAAAACTGAATGGATGGATGGACAGATGGAGGTATGAAAGAACCGGCGTAACTGGATGAAGTAAAGGACTCAGCACACTCTAAAGCCTGACAAAGGAAGTCTTAAATGAGTCTGTGAGGTTCTTTTGGGGACAAGCTGAAACCCTGGAGCCATCTAGTGAAGGGGGAGGGTTTGGCTCAGAGGACCTGAGAGCGGATGCGAGGGACACAGGGTCCCGGGAGGGGAGGGAGGGTTGAACAGCCAGCCCGAGGCAGGGGGAAGCCAAAGAGCTCCGAGACTATTGCTGAGCCTTTCCTCCCAGGGGCCAGGGAGATGGCCCGCAGCCGCAATCACTGGCCACTGCTGCGGGCTCCGGGCTCCCTGGAAAGAGGGAGTCCAGAGCCCCCACTTCCTGTGCGAGACACCTGGGCCTCTGAGCACCATGTGGCCTGGCAGCGGGAGGCCAGGCTGCAGCGACCTCCTGGCACTTCAGAGGAGGATGAGATCCTGCCGGAATGAAATACCTGAACATAACAAAACCAACAGCGAGCCCCTCCCTGTGAGTGTGAGAACAAGGGAGAAGGCCCACCCTTCTCTTTGCTGCGGCCTCCACAGCTTCTGGAAAGCTTCTCCGACTCCAACAGCCCCTCTGCTCAAACTGCAAGACAAGATAAGCTGCTCTCAGGGCTACGTTCCTGCACACATACCCCTCCTCCCTGCTGCTTTTTACAGCTCCGGGTAATTAGTAGAAAGTTCCCTTCTCCTCTCCTCTTCAAACAAGCCTCTTTTGAACTCTTCATAACTTTTTCTCTTTTTTTCTTTATTGATGAAGATATTACATAGGTGTCCTTATCCCCCGTGCTCCCCCTCATGCCTCACCCGCTGGTGTCTGTGTCCATTGGTTATGCTTATGTGCATGCATACAAGCCCTTTGGTTGATCTCTCCCATAACTTTTACTCTCAGCGTGTTTTACATACAGTTTGGGTGAGGATGCTGACAGACACCCCCCTAGGACATCTGCCCAGACTGAAAAACAAACAGACTTTTCAGACAGCCCCCATGTCTGCTCAACTCCAGCCCCAAGCCCCCTTCCCTCCTTGTCACCTAGCAACAGCAGCCGAGCTTTAAAGGGAGCAGCTTTTGGTTCTCCGCCTGGTATTGGTCAGCATGCCCCAGGCTTTCCCTTTGGGGAGAGTGAAAATGATGAAACTTTCTCTCTGCATCTACTTCTTCCGTTAGCTGTGAATGCTTCACAGCCGAGTCACAGCCAAAACCCCTAACGCCCCACATGCCGGATGCCATGCTGATGCTTTCTGAAGCCAGTCAGTCTGCAGACACTTACACAAAGTTGGCAACAGCGAAGCTGCTTTACAAGGCTTAAAGGCGTTAGTTAAAGTCATTATGTCCCTGAAAATGGCTGATAAGAAAAACATTTTAAAACATATTTTTTATCTATTTCAGATAAGAAGGGAGAGGGAGGAAGAGAAATATCAATGATGAGATAAAATCATCGATCAGCTGCCTCCTGAACACCCCATACTGGGGGGTGGAGCCTGCAAGCAGGCATGTGCCCTGACCAGGAACAGAACCATGACCTTCTGTTCATAGTTCGATCCTCAACCACTGAGCCAAAGCCATATGACCTTTCTTTAGGGCTGTGACAGAGTCTCAGGCATAGGATGTCATTGAGGTGCACTTCAAATATGAGAAATGACCAAATAAAGTTGGCTTTTGATTCTAAAAAAAAAAAAAAAATGCTTTCTGTGCATTAATTCACTAATCTTCACAACAGCCACTGGTCACACACACACACACACACACACAAAAGAAAGAAAGAAAGAAAGAGAGAAAGGAAGAAAGAAAGAAAGAAAGAAAGAAAGAAAGAAAGAAAGAGAGGAAGAAAGAAAGAGAGAAAGGAAGAAGAGAAGAAGAAAGAAAGAAAGAAAGAAAGAAAGAAAGAAAGAAAGAAAGAAAGAAAGAAAGGAAGAAAGGAAGAAAGAAAAGAGCCGGCCAGCATGGCTCAGTGGTGGAGTGTCGACCTATGAACCAGGAAGTCACGGGTTGACTCTCGGTCAGGACACGTGCCCGGGCTTCGGGCTCCATCCCGTATCCCCAGTAAGAGACATACAGGAGGCAGCCAATCAATGAGTCTCTCTTATCATTGATGTTTCTGTCTCTCCCTCTCCTTTCTTCTCTGAAATCAATAAAAATGTTGTTTGTTTAAAAAAATGTAGGAATCTTAAGTAATTTGTTCATTCAGCATAAGTGAATTGGTTTATATTCACATGATGGACCATTATTATACAGCTAGAGGCTGGTGCATGAAATCCCTGCACTGGCGGGGGGGGGGGGGGCGCGGTTCCTCAGCCCAGCCTGTGCCCTCAGGGATCCCTCGCTCCTTTCCAGCATCCTGCTCCATGCTCCTTACTGCTTGGCTTGCTGCTCCTTAGCGCTGCCGCTGAGGTGGGCCAGCCTGAGCCTGGCTTCTGGCTGAGTGTCGCTTCCCCTGACCACCAGAGTGCAGCTCCTGCGTTGAGTATCTGCTCCCTGGTGGTCAGTGCTCATCATAGCAACCAGTTGTTCTGGTTGTTCTGTCATAAAGGTCGCTTAGGCTTTTATTATATAGACAATAGGAATAAACAAACTATAATTACATGCAACAATATGGGTGAAATACATTAATATTTTGAGCAAAAGAAAATAGACACGAAAGAGCCCTAACTGATCCTGGTCAGTGTGCTCAGTTGTTAGAGCATCGGCTGGCACGCCAAAGGGTCTCAAGTTCAATTCCCCGTCAAGAGCATGTGCCTGAATTGAAAGTTTGATACTGGTCAGGGCATGTGCAGGAGGAAACCAATCAATATGTCTCTCTTACATAGATGTTTGTCTCTCTCTCCTTCCCTTCCATTCTCTCTAAAAGTCAATGGAAAAATAATCCTCCAGTGAGGATTAACAACAACAAAAAGCCCTTACTGTACAATTCCATTTTTATAAAGAACAAAAACAGGTAAAATAATATATGTTGTTAGAA